ATCACATGACTGGGACTCCAGGTGTGTTTTCCTCCCTTTCTCACTGCCCTACATCACACTCTCTTACCCTTGCTAATGGTTCCACATCTTCCATTTGTGGTGTTGGTAATATTGACAAAGACCCTTTATCATTGTCCTCAATTTTGCATGTTCCCAAATTTCCTTTGAATCTTAAGTCTGTTAGTAAGCTGACCAAGTCTCTTAATTGCTCTATCACCTTTTACTCCTCTTCTTGTGTTTTTCAAGATCTCAAGACGGGGATGAAAATTGGTAAAGGGCACAAAGCTAGTGGACTATATTATCTTGATGGTGGTGGTGGTTTGCCAACAGCTCTTTAGACATCTCCTTCTCCTCTTCAGTGGCACTATAGACTTAGTCATCCATCACTTAAAGCATTGAAGTCACTTGTTTCGTCGTTGAGTCATCTTTCTGTTTTGGATTGTGAGTCGTGCCAATTAGGGAAATATCATCATGTTCCCTTTAGTCCTAAGGTTGATAATCATATGCTGAGTTATTTTTCTTTAGTTCATTCAGATATTTGGGGTCCAAATAAGATAGCATCATACAATGGTTACAAATACTTTGTTATTTTTGTTGATAATTATTCAAGGATGGCATGGCTTTATCTTATGAAAGAAATGAGTGATTTGTTTTCCATTTTCCAAAAATTTTATGTTGAAATACGCAACCAATTTGGTGTACACATTAAGATCCTTCATTTTGATAATGGCCGAGAATACTTTTATACACTGTTTCAAGAGTATTTGGGACAACATGGCATTATCCATCAGACCTCATGTACCTACATCCCACAGCAAAATGGGGTGATTGAAAGAAAAAACCGCCATCTTTTGGAAACCGCTTGGTCCCTTTTGCACCATATGAATGTACCCAAACGTTTTTGGAGTGATGTTGTGCTTACATCTTTCTTCCTCGTTAACTGGATGCCCACACACATCCTTGAAGGTCATTCTCCCTTCACCACTTTATTTCCTACCTTGTCTCCGTTTCCCCTTACTCCTCAGGTTTTTGGGTGTGTCAAATTTGTTCATAATCTTGGACCGGGAAGGGAAAAGTTAGATGCACGATCCATTAAGTGTATTTTCCTTGGCTATTCCCGGACCCAGAAAGGGTGTAAGTGTTATAACCCCAGTTCTCGGCATTCCTTTGTGTGCCCTAATATTACTTTCTTTGAGTCTATTCCGTTTTTTTTTTTAGGTCAGGTGATGTCTCTTCTTCTTCTTCTCCGCCTCCTCTTCCTCTTCCAATTCCTATTGACGACCCCATCCCACTTGTCCCAATAGTGACCAAGTCTTCGCCTCCAGTGCAGCTCCCCATTGAATGGCCACCCATCCGCCAAGTGTATACGCATCGACTACACGTACCAGCTCCTCCAGCTTCTTCGTCGTCAACAGATCCGACAGTTGTTCCCACACCAGCCCCACTTCCTATTTCTAACCTTGATCTTCCTATTGCCTTGCAGAAAGGCAAACACAGTTGCACACTTCATCCCATTTCAAATTATGTTTTTGTATCTCACCTTTCTGCCTCCCATCACCAGTTTGTTTCTATGTTGTCTTCTATCTCTGTTTCTATGGATGTCCAGGAAGCTCTTGCCTCTCTAGGGTAGCGCTATGCAATGGAAGAAGAACTCCTAGCTTTGGCTCATAATCGTACGTGGGATCTCACCATGCTACCCCTGGTAAACATGTTGTATGTTGTAAGTGGGTATACACTGTTAAGTATTTACCTGATGGTAGTGTAGAGCGGTTGAAAGCTCGACTGGTTGCCAAAGGATATTCCCAAATGTATGGTATTGACTACACCGAGACCTTCTCTCTAGTTGCTAAAATTGGTTCAGTTCGTGTTTTGATATCTCTAGTTGCTATGTATGATTGGCCTTTGTTTCAACTTGACATCAAGAATGCCTTTTTACATGGTGATCTCCTTGAGGAGGTCTATATGGAGCAACCATCGGGGTTTGTTGCTCAGGGGGAGGATGGTGGTAAGGTGTGTAGGCGAAAGAAGGTCATTTATGGACTCAAACAGTCCCCCAATGCGTGGTTTGGTAGATTCAATGAAGTGATAAAGAAGTTTGGCATGAAACAGTGCTAGGTTGATCACTCAATATTCAGCTATGGTTCACATACTGGGAAGATTTTACTCGTGGTATATGTAGATGACATTGTTATTACTGACAGTAACAGGTTGGGGATTGATCGGATGAAGACCTTTCTACAAGAGCACTTCCAAACAAAGGACCTTGGTAAATTGAAATATTTCTTGGGGATAGAAATAGCAAGGTGTTAACCTGTGTTAGAGGAAGTATGTTCTTGATTTGGAGGAGATAGGATTGTTAGGTGCCAAACCAGCTGAAACACCTATGGAACCAAATACCAAGATGAATAGTGATGTGGCTGAGGAGTTCAAGGACCCTAGAAGGTAGAGGAGGTTGGTGGGCAAGCTAAACTACCTAACCATCACTCGGCTAGATATTTCATTTGCAATTAGTGTGGTGATTCAGTTTATGCAAAATCCTCAAGTTCCACATAGGAATGCAGTTCTGAGGATTGTAAGGTATTTGAAGGGAGCTCCTAGTCATGGCTTCCTATACAAGAGTGGAGGAAACCTTGAAATTGAGGTATACACTAATGCCGATTGGGCTGGCTCTGTATCTAACAAAAGGTCCACTACAGGTTATTGTACCTTTCTTGGGGGCAATTTGGTGACATGAAAGAGTAAGAAGCAGATAGCGATGGCAAGAAGCAGTGCAGAAGCTGAATACAAAGCCATAGCACATACAAGCTGCAGTCCACATCTCTTCTGATGAAGCTTTATTGTGACACCAAGCTGCGGCATACTCGATTAACACTCCGATGAAGCTTTATTGTGACACCAAGCTGCAGTCCACATCTCTTCTGATCAAGTTTTTAATGAGAGAACAAAATATATAGAAGTGATTGTCACTTTGTGAGAGAGAAGGTGCTTAGTAGAGTGATAGATACTACATATGTTCACACAAGAAGTCAATGAGCATTCTTGTTCACCAAAGGGTTGAGGCGGATAAGAGTGGACTACATATGTAACAAGCTAGGACTATATGATATATACTCACTAGCTTGAGGGGGAGTGTGTAGGGGTGGTTTAGTCTTTTATGTTTTGGTGTGAGGTGTAATGTTTAAGTTAAGTGATTTGTCCCATACTTAAGTAGGGGCATAACAGACCTGGCCGACTAGAGAGAATTGACTTTTCTCTCTTGTTCAAACTAGTTTCTTCTTCTCCTCTCTTCTCTTCTCTTCTCTTCTTGTTCTCTCTTCCATCTCCTCTAACATTCTTCTTCTACTACTATTTCTAACTGAATTCAAGTGCAGGTCTAAACTTTATCAGTTATAAAACCTTTTTTATAGGGATTAAGAATTTACAACCTTGATATAAACTTGTTTGGGCTTGCCTTGAGGGATTTGGTATAAAGGCAACATGTGGAATCAAGAATGCATAATGTTTAACATCACATTAGCTAGACTGAAAAACATCGAGATGTTTTGGTTTCAAAGGCTTTTGCCAAACTAAAAGGGAGTCTCTTTGGGATTAAACCAAACAAGAAGATCTTGAAGATCTAGAAATCCACAAGAAGATCTTAGTGGTCTAAAGGTTGTATTTTTGTGAGGGTGTTTTTGGGCTAGTGGTGCTTGGGAATGAGAGTTGTATCTTTTGTGTTTTTCTTTTGAGTCTGAGTTGTTTTTTGGATTGCTTTTGCTTCCGGTGGTGTCAAGGGGGTTTGTTTTGATGTTTTGCTAGGCTTTTGAGTTTGTGTTTGGTTTTTTGAGCTTCAGTTGGTTTGCTTGGCTGGGAGTTGAATTCTTGCTTTTCTTCATTCTTCTTTCGAGTATTTTTTGTCACTCTTCCCTATAATTTCTTTTTTTTTCTTTTAATAATTTTTTATTTTATTGCCAAAAAAACATCACATAAGTTATTTGAAGTAATGCGGTTGGAAAAAAAATAATGAGATTGAGAGTTTTACATGCTAGAATATGTTTTATATGTTATACTTGATTTTATTTTAAATTTTCATTTTAAATATGTTTTACATGTCATGTTTATGTATTTTAATATGAGATAATAGTTTTTTAAAAACATTTATTTTAAAATTTAAGTTTATACTTTTTAAATTAATATTGTGTTTAATATTTTGCTTTTTTTTATTTTTTAGCTTTTTTAATTTTTAGCATTTTTTGCATTTTTGTGCCTTGCTTTGAAAAGGTGCACACCTCACCATGTGCCTTGCACTTTTAAAACACTGCTTGAGAGCATCATGTCTCAGATGGTGATATAAAGGTTGCACAAACTCAGACAACACCAAAACCCATATTTAGATGAAGAGTTCATCATTTAATGGTCAAGAAATTCTAAAGGTAGCTTGATGATCTGAGTGAAGTAGAGGGAATATATGAGCATGTAGGCATCCTGGAGGAATAGAAGTGAAAATTGTCAACAAACGCATAATCTAGTTGAAGACCTATTCATCGTCTCAGTAACAGTATTTTCGGGATGAGGCTTGAGAAGTATTTAGGTTAAGAGTCCATCCTTTAATGGTGAAGAAATTCTAATGGTAACCTAATGATATAAGTGAAGTAGAGGGAAATATGAGTGTTTAGGCATCCTGGAGGAATAAAAATGAAACTTGTCAACAAACTCATAAGTTAGCTGAATATCTATTCATCATTTCAGTGACAGTATTATCAGAGGGGTTCAGAAGTAACTAAAATAACTAACTACAGAAAGAAATGCATTGAATTACATAGAGGGGAACTTCCACTTTTACTTACAATGCGCTGAATTTATTTAAAAAGAAAAGTTTCAACGCTCCTTGTGTTTATAAAGTAAATCAGCTAACTCAAATCAACAATCTATGCGGTATCACTGAGACATCAGAACTCGAATTTATTTAAACGAGAAAAAATAGAGATAGAAACCCAAAAAAGGAAAGAACGTTAAGGTACCCGATATCAAGAACATGGCATGGCTTTATTACGGTCTTTTCTATGGCTTTACAGAATGCTCTATTCCGCGGTGAGTCGTTAAGCATGTCGAGATAAGACGTCGATGACAATAGGGCTTTAGGTGAATTTTCTTCTTCGCTCTCTTCGATGACTACCCATTCCGAGTTTCCTGTCAAGGGATTGAATCTCAACTGAAAAATGCGCTGAGACAATTCAGAGCTCATGCTTCGAACCGGCTGGCACTTGATGCGGCCGAATGATGAAGGGTTGAGACGGGTTATGGGGTGAAGGACAATATTGGAAACAAGTGTTCTGCATATTGAGGAAGCCATGAACATCGAACGTCGAGCTTCAAATGAAATATGCAGAGAGACATTATGGGTAACTAAGCAGTGAGTGAGCGCGTCGAGTCTTCTCTTTATGATTCGGAGGCATGAGTCTTGTTAGTCTGACAAAGAAAGGGTAAGGGGAAAGGAGTTGGTATGTGCTTCAATTTCATTGTACCAGTCTTCAGTTGCTGGTCTCGTCCGGTCTTCGTTTCACTTGGTTTCGTAAAGGAGTTGGGGTATTTGAATTGAAGGCTTTGAAGCCACTATATTGGAGTTCGGCTTCAGTCAGGGCAAAGCCCATTCGAGCAGCCTTGTGCAATTGAGTTTATTTCATAGGAGATATTCCTAGTGCAAGATTGCAAAAAACTGTTAGAACGGTATGGTTTGCCCTATGAAGAGCAATCAGTGTTCTAAATGGATCGCTGTCTGAACAGTTAAACGGATTTAACCACTGCTCTAAAACCCTACCCGGATGTTGATCCGGTTCACTGTAAAGATCATGATTCATCCGCTTCAGCTTTCTGCTGTTGGTTGAACTGGTTGGACTGTTACAACTCATCTAGATATTTTATGGATGCCCTCAATCATTAAAATCGTCATGGAAATAAAGTGGTGGGATAAATTCCATCTCACACCAACATTAAAACCAATGGAAGAAAAATGAAGTTTTCCAAGCTATTTGAATCTTATCAGAAAAAAGCTCAAATCCAAGTTTCCTAATCTGGACTCTGTCCAGCTCAAAGAGATAAAGAGATAAATAAGCATCTCTTAAGGGCATCATTACTAGTTTATCTCAAATCCAAGTTTCAATTTTGGATCATTTAACCTAGTATGTTCTTTCTTTAATAAGAAATCGAATTATACTATTTTGTTGTTTTCATGCATAGTATATTGCCTCCCTCAGTCTCAATCTCAGTTATTATACTACTTTGTTACTTTCTTACTTTGTTACTTTCTTACTTTGTTACTTTGTTATTTATTATTTTATTAGTATTTATTAATTAACAACTTAGTATTTATTCTTAGTTTATGAATATTTTATTATTTTATTATTACTTTATTAGCTTTATTAATAGGTTATTATTGAATTATTATGTCATTATATTTTAATGTTATTTTTTATTATAATATTAATATTCATTATTTTTTGTTCTATTATTTTAATATTATTTTTTTACTAGTTAATAATTAATATCTTTATTTTTTATTATTATAGTATTAATATTTTATTATAGTACTAGTATTTTATTATTTAATTATTATATTGCTTTAATTATATTATATTATTATTTTATTATAGTAATATTATTTTATTGTTATCTTACTAACATTTTATTAACAATTATTTGTTTTATTATTATTTAATTATTAATACGATATTATTTTATTATTACTTTAATAATATTTAATTAATATTAGGATTTGGGTTTTTTTGTGATGAGTTCTTTACTTCTTAGTAGACTATGGAATGGGAATCCCATTCCCAAGGGGGGGAGCTTGGAATGGCCATTCACATGGGGAATTCCACTCCACAAAGAATGGGAATAGGAATGGCCCTTTCAATAAACGGTTAGAATTAAATGGGTAATAATTCTAATTCCCATTCCAGACACCTGTTCTAGGGAACCAAATGGATCCTAACTAGACATCTCTCTCTATGTGTGTGTGTTTAGTCATTCTTATCATTAATAACAATAAATCTAATTTATTTTACTTATGTTTATTCAAAATAAGTGATATTGAATTGACAAATCTATGATGTTAGAGGCATGTCCAATTTATTTTCTATAACTTTAATTTTTGATATATTTTTATTATTTCTTTTATGATGTCATATCTTGACCAATTTGGCCTAGATGATTGAAAGAATGACCCACCACAAGACATTAAAAAAAATACAGAACATCAATTGCAATGCCCTTGAAAATTTCAACCTTGCCACAAGGCAAGTGCTTCGGAAGTCGCCACGCTCTATATTTTTGGGATTATAACAGATAAGGGCAACTTTTGGGCCCTAATATCAATAAAAGTAATATTTTTAATAAAACTTCAAAAATAGGTTAACTTTTTAAAAATAATATCAAATAAGGATAAAATTGCTGTTCATATTCTTCCTCTTGCATATCATTCATTAGCGCCACCGCCCCCCACCGCCTCCGGCAATGCCTCCACCTTAACAACACTTCTACGATTTAATGAGTCTTTAGGAGCGAGTGTTCTTCATTGGCAAAGGTCCTTACAAGTTTGTAAGTAAAATAGTTTAGGAGCAAGTGTTCTTCATTGGAAAAGGTCCATACAAGTTTGTATCTGAAATAGTTAGGAATTTGCCACAAAAATTAGAATCTTGATCAGAATAGAATAGTTTAACACGAACGGTTTTATTGATTGATTTAAAAATAATAGTGGTTCAATATATAGTGGGAACATTTTTTAACATACATATTAAACAATAGTAAGTATGTTAAATAGGGGTGGCAACGAGCCAGGCTTTTCACGAGCAGCTCGATCTCGGCTCGTGAAAAGCTCCGAGCCGAGCTGAGCTCGAGCCCAATTCACTAGCTCGATTATGAAACGAGTTGAGCTTGAGCCTACTAGAGCTTGGCTCATGAGGTTCGCGAGCCAGCTTGAATATATATATATATATATATATATATATATAATAAAATTATAGAAAATAATATATAATAAAATTATAGAAAATAATATATAATTAAAATATTATAATTATTAATTCTTTAAATATCAAGTAAAAAATAGTTTTATATATAATTTTTTTATAAAACATGTTTTCTCAAAATCGAGCTCGATTTTATGAATTTTTTACTCGACTCGAGCTCGAGCTCGAGCCTTGTAGAATAGTCTCGAGCCAAGCTCAAGCCTCGTACTATTTGGCTCGGCTCAGCTCGGCTCGGCTCGAATCCACCCCTAATGTTAAATAAGAAATGTTTTTATTAATGATGAAAAAGGAATGTAAAATTTAAAACCAATTGGAAATAAAAATGGATGTAGTGCGATATGGTCACTCCTAGCTGGCAGGGGCCTCGCTCCTAACTGGCAACGGACAACACCTGAGAAGGAGAAGAAGACAAAGGATTCCCAGGGAGCTCACCCGGTGGGAACACTCCGATGCTTAAGTTAGAACTCGGTGGAGAGCTTAGAGAGTTGTAAAGGAAAAATGAGCTAAGAGTGGAGATTCGCACTTCGTCCAAAAAATTACCTTGGAAATCGAGGCCTTTATATACTGATGCTCTGTCAAATCGAGTGTAACCGCCTCTAATTCTCTGTTACAGCCGTTATTCGCCAGGCTGATTCGACTGGTGCAGGTAACCGTCGCAGAGTATGGTCCTGTCAGTTGAGAGACATTATGCAAAGCTGGCATGCACGACACCGCCTGACGTGAGACGTGGGTGCAGTCCTCTGGACTGGCAGGCGTTGTGCCGCCAGACAAGAGATGTGGGAGCAGTCTGACAGGCATGGTCTTGTCGGATAAGAAGTTTCCCGAAGACTCCGGGTTACTCAATAGTGAGTTGCCTTGCAACAAGCCGTTCTGTAGCGAGTTGTCTTGTGGCGAGCTGTTATGCTGGGATTTCAGCAAGCTCATTACTCCGAGTTGTAGCCAAGCTGTCATGCTGAGTTGTCGCTTACGTCGAGTCATGTCCACGTGTCCCCTGGTTAGGAGGTCGGGTCAAATCACCCTCCATCAATTGCCCCTCACTCCTTGGGCTAAGGGTCTTGTTCTAGCGCGGGGAGTTCATGAAATGACGGGTGGATTTGACCCGTAATTCAAATTACTTTGACCGACCGCACGTGGTTTTCAGTTTTTTCGGGCACCAAAAAATGCGCCAAACTGCCTTCAATTTCGGAAGACATGCGGCCGTCTTTATTGTGAGCCGTTGGATTCGCTTTAATCGGAGCCGTTGGCTTTCGGGCATAGTGGCTATAAATAGGAGGGCCCCAAGCCTCATTTTCTTTTACGCCAACTTGCCTTGCTTTCGGGGTTGAGGTTGCGCCTTCGCCTTGTTTGCTCGAGCTCTCCCCGTACTTAGTGGGGGTGATTTTATGATGTACACCGAGGTGAGCAACATAGTAAGGCATATGCCCGACCTGTGTTACTGAAGTTAAAGTCAGTTGTCCCTAACAGGTCCAACTTGTATACCGGGGCGGGTTATGCATCATAGGATTTACACCCGAGCTGCCTGCGCCTTTGGTACTAATACTTAGCCTATGCCGATGAAGCGGTTAGGTCTTATACGATGTCGAGATCTTCGTTAACTCGGTGTTTTAGCCCTTAGGCTGGGGGAGTGACTTATAGTCCATTCTCCTAGAGTTCGCCCATGCCGAAGAGGCGACTGGGTCTTATAGTGCCGAGGTCTTTGTTAGCTCGGCATTTTGGCCCTCAGGCTCTGGGAGCGACTACGGTCCACCCCCTTCTGGAGTTCGCCCATACCGAAGAGGCGTCTGGGTCTTATAGTGTTGAAGTCTTTGTTAGCTCAACATTTTGGCCCTTAGGCTCTGGGAGCGACTATGGTCCACCCCCTTTTGAAGTTCTCCCATGCCGAAGAGGCGACTGAGTCTTATAGTGTCGAGGACTTTGTTAGCTCGACATTTTGGCCCTTAGGCTCTGGGAGCGACTACGGTCCACCCCCTTTTGAAGTTCGCCCAGGCCGAAGAGGTGACTGGGTCTTATAGTGCCGAGGTCTTTGTTAGCTCGGAATTTTGGCCCTTAGGCTCTGGGAGCGACTACGGTCCACCCCCTTCTGGAGTTTGCCCGTGCCGAAGAGGCGATTGGGTCTTATAGTGTTGAAGTCTTTGTTAGCTCGGCATTTTAGCCCTTAGGCTCTGGAAGCGACTACGGTCCACCCCCTTTTGGAGTTTATCCATGTCGAAGAGGCGACTAGGTCTTATAGTGCCGAGGTCTTTGTTAGCTCGGCATTTTGGCCCTTAGGCTCTGGTAGCGACTTGTAGCCCACTCAACTTGATGATTACAGGTAATATTGCCTTAAGTTGACAATATTCTATGTCCAAGGTACTTGTTTCCCTTCTAGGGTTTTGAGCTCATACGTTCCTTCCCCGAGCACCCGCTTTACTCAGTAGGGTCCTTCCCAATTTGGCCCGAGCTTACCAACACCGGGCTCAGGAACCATCACTACGAAGAACTAGGTATCCGACGCGGAGGTTCCGCTTCTTGACCCTGGTGTTATAGTTCCGAGCTACTCTTTGCTGGTTGGCCGCGATCCTAACGTATGCGAGGTCCCGTACCTCGTCAAGTAGGTTGAGGTTGGTGAATAGCTCGTCTTCGTTTGTTTTGTCGTCATACACTTCTAGACGTAGCGTGGGAACCTCGATCTCGGCTGGGATGACAGCTTCAGTGCACTTGGTAGTTCGTCTGTTGC